TAGATAGATAGATAGATAGATAGATAGATAGATAGATAGATAGATAGATAGATAGATAGATAGATAGATAGATAGATAGATAGATAGATAGTGTTTCTTTAGGGAGTTAGTCTGGGGGTCTCCTGGGTGGGGGCGCCCCTCTTGGTAGGAGAAAAGCTTCATTTACTACAAGAACCAGAACGTCTCGAAGAAGAACCACAGTTGGATTAATATTATCTCATAACTGTGCATTTTCATCTCAAAGAACAAATATTTCCTGTATTTTTAGGTAAAGTTTGAACTTTCGAGTCTTATTTTCTGGTTACTTTAAATATAAAAACCAGTGTACAAACATTAAGAAAAGGAAAAGTTTTTTCTGTTATCCTGTGAACTGACGTCACATTTAGAGTGAAACTGTAGCTGTTCCTCTTGTTTCTCTTCACAGAAGAGATGAGTATTAATTTTAAAAAATACTTTCACAACTGCAGTTTTTCCARAGGGGATCACTGAGATCCCATCACTCACCGTCTCATCGCTGCAGATGGAGTGGACCTGAGTCCCGAACATGACGGCGGTGAAGATGAGGAAGAGGAGCCCCTCGAAGCTGAGGAGGATGAGGAGGATGACTGTTGCTGGCGGAGAGAAGCCGCTGCACTCTGAACAGAGAGAGAGTTAACATCAAGTTTATAACTCAGATTTGCTTTTTAACAACTTTCTTGTGTCATCAGATTGTAACAGAATATAGAAACTGATGTTGATTTTACTTTAAATGGGATCATAGTTTGACAACATGAGCTCARTCCTGTAGTGGATGAGACTTAAAACCAACTAAAGAAAAATAAACACAATCCGTAGTACTTACTTGCCCAGTCGGCCTCAAAGCAGAAAACAAAGTGGAAGGCCACCATGATTAAAGCATGAAGGGATATTAATGCGATGTACATCTGAAAGCAAAGAAACAGGTTTATTATCAATTAAATATGATCATCTTATCAAACCACCGCTCTTTGATTTTCAGCACATAAATACTCACAGTGAAGAGCACAAAGTATTTCTGGTTGTTTTCTCCGACGCAGTTGTTCACCCAGGGACAGTGGTGGTCCATCTTTCTGATGCAGCGTTTACAAACACTGAAAACAAAAAGAAAATGAAAATTTAAAAAAAGGAAATCACACCATGTGCTTCGTTTTACGATAAATTTCAACTCTGAAGGAGATTTAATCACATTTATAAATAGGATAAAGACAAATTAATCTGTGGTACTGAACGAGCCAAGTCTCTAATTTATAGTAGGGCTGCGCGGTATATGCAGTAGAAGGTAGAAACAGTACGAAGTTGGCCTAAGGTAGAAATTAACCCTCTACCTTCCTGTCATCATTACGTCATCGCAACTGTGTCAGCAGGACTGCGAGTGCAGAGACAASTGAGCAGGAGTTCGAAATATAATGAAGAAATTCTAGCATTTTAAAACACGTACAGAGAGAATAAATCCTCAAAATTTCCTCCTCCCGCTGTAGAAAAAAGTTACGTCGTGTCGCGAAATCATTTCCTCCATCCAGCTCCACGTCGCACAGAGCGAATCTTTAACAACTGTAGTTTTTCACACCCAACTGTCAGAGAAAAAAAATGTTTTTTATGTATTGTTACACACAGAGATTATTAAAAAAAAGACGTGGGCATTTGTTCAGTCGTAAATCCATCTTGCTAATGTAAAGGTGGCTTCTGCTTTGATGATGATGATGAAGATGAGCGCGCAGCAGATAAGTTCAGCAAGCAGAAGCATTGTTTGGCAGGCAAATATTAAAGGGGACCTATTATGCAAAATTCACTTTTTAAAGGTTTTTTTACTCAACTTTGGGTATGTAC